CTCCAGACGTGGAATCGCGATACTTACTGAATTTGTTTGTTTTTATTTCGAATTTCGCGCAAAGCTACACGAGGGCTATCTGCGCTAGCTGTTCCCAATTTAGCAGTGTAAGACTAGAGAGAAGGCAGCTGGTCATCACCACCCACCGCCAACTGTTAGGCTACTCTATTAGCAACGAATAGTGGGATTGACCGTCACATTATAACGCCCCCACGCCTGAAAGGGCGCGCATGTTTGGTGTGACGGGGATTCGAACCCGCGATCCGCAGATTGCGAGTTGAGCGCCCTAACAACCTGGCCATGCCGAGTCTGGTAACATTCTAACATTGCTAAAATAATCGGTAGTAATGCTGAAAGATTACTAGTAGTGCTGGTACTGTACTAATATTTCTAAAAATAATACTACTACAGCTGTTAATACCAAAATATAATGTACAAAAACTATAAATTCTATATCGTGATAACTTTGTGAATCAAGATTTTTAGAATAAATTGTAAAAAAACCACTAAAAACATCAATTCTATGCTGTGATATTTTTTTAAAACATGATATGAAGACTTCACTCCAATACAAGAAAGCGATAAATAATAAAGCCCATTACATTTTACAGCTACTACACTACTGATCCGCTTGAAACTGCATAAAGGATAAGCTGATATGTTTTGTAAAGTCACAAAATACATATACACATTATTCTTACTCGTCTTACTATTGACTTCATTTTTTGATAAATTAATGTGTTTCAATATCAAGAATTATTTACATTTTCAGAACTTTTAACAATATTGATTTAAACTAACATCAAAAGATGGCACAGTCAACAACTTGGCTTGTACAGTAAGAGGAACGTGCACTCTGCATGGCAGGAGCACGAGGTTAAGATATTCTAAAAACAATACGAAAACCTGTTTTATCGAACATTTAAAAAAAACGTTATTAAACGTTATCTGCATAACTTGAATTTTAGGTTTCCAAATTCTCTTTTCTATTGTTGACACTAAAAAAACAGGACATAACCTTGAAAGTGCATTATAGCCTGTATTAGCTCTCTAGCCAAGCCTCTCCGTCCAAACCCGTTGCACGCTTCCCATACTCTCAAAAGCTCATTACTCAGGTTTGATGACGAGGAACCAACTTTTGAATGGGTAATTTTATTACTAACAAGAAGTGTACAAGGTTTCAACAAGCTTTTGTCATCATCAGGTACTGGAAATATCGTTTCTCCTTCAGACGATTTTTATATTTACGAGGTTTAGAGACAATTGCACGATAGTTTATGGTGGTGGGGCTCGGCATGGCCAGGTGGTTAGAGAGTTCGACTCGCAATCTGCGAGTCGCGGGTTCGAATCCCCGTCCCACCAAACATGCTCGCCTTTTCAGCCGTGGGGGCGTTATAAAGTGATGGTCAATCTCATTATTCGTTGGTAAAAGAGTAGCCCAAGAGTTGGCGGTGGGTGGTGATACCTGCTGCCTTCCCTCTAGTCTTACACTGATAAATCAGGGACGGCTACCGCAGGGAGCTCTCGTGTAGCTTTGCGCGAAATTCAAAACAAACAAACAAACAATTATGGTGGTGGACAAGTGAGGAAGTATATTAAAAAGATGTATGTAAGATAACAAAGACAATCGTTTAGGCTTACACAACCTCGAGTTTTCACCATGACCAGCCCGTAGCCAGGGTGGTTGGGTGGGTGGTCAGGGAGTGCAAACGACCCCCCCCCCCTCACTGGAGTTCCGCTTGCCTATTAACGTTTTTATTTTCTCCTTTTCTTTGATGATGGCCTCTCATTATACAATTGCTTTTGTAACACTGTGCATACATGCGGAAATAGCATTTTCGTACTTCTCAGAGGAAATTTACAAGAAATGTATATTTTTAGTGATAATAAAGGAACCATTACATATTTCGAAATTTGTTTTCCCATCCCTGGGCACTAAGTTATACACGAAACAAGTTCCACATTGGACCAAAAAGTACCCCTCCCCACTTCCCGACCAGACTACGGGGTTGCGTAGTGAATTTCAAATTTGATGACGAGGAACCTCTTTTTGAAAATTAAGTTTGGAAATGGCTTGTGGACACACTGTACATTTGTTAGTTGTAACAAAGCTTCTTTCATTATCCATTCAAGCCGTTTCCAAACTTTATTCACTGCTCAAATGTTTCTGTTGTATGAATATTCAAGTAAAAAAAAAACAAAAAAACCTACATATACGTTATACAAGTTGATGTAAAAATAAAACTTAAAGCAAACATACTTCGCCTGGTTTATACGTTTTACAAGTTATTGTACACTGTACAAAACGGCCAGTATATCATACGTTTATCAAATTATAGAACTATAACAGTGTCAATTCGTATTAAGTCATTTGTTTAGTATAGGTGTATTTAATGAAATAATTTCTCACAAAACAGTGAAACAGTATATTTTATTTTTGAGTGTTTACGAATGTGCTTTCAATAACGAAAAATATTGAAACCAATTCTCGTGTTAAAACCAAAGTCTGTGGTAATAAGAGCGCTCATTTTATACATTGTTTTTTAAAATAATCAATTTAAAACAAAAACAAAAATAAGTTGGTCAGTAAACGTTAAGCTTAAATTTCCTTCACTTACAATCAACCAGATTTTAATATTGCATTGAGTGCCAGGTGTTGGGGTAAAGCACGTGTCTTTGATCGTCACAGGCTTTAGAAGAGTGATATGTATTACTGAGTTTATTTTTCTTTTATTAGAAAAAGTTGAACGTAAGCTACAAGAGTAAGTCGTTTCGTTAATAATATGAGCTTACAAGTCGTTTCGTTAATAAAATGAGCTTACCGTAAAGTTTAATACAGATAAGAGCTTTCATGGACTCGCGGGGGGTATTTTTTGGGGGACCCCCTTTCTCAATCATTTTCTCCCCTTCTTTCTGTAAGACCTCTTCAGAGTGTTGGGACTCGGGGAATGTTCCCCAGTGTTTCCTCCCTCTCGGTGGGTCTGAAGGATAAATCTAATCTATATTACCTTATGGTTCGAACTGTCTGGATAACTTTTATTGACGGTACGGTAAAGGCTTTGTCTGTCATTTATTTAGAGTTCTGATGGTAATTAATATTACCAACTCATATTCTCCTCGTTCAGAGAGGTTCAGACAAAAATCAGTGAAACAACTTTCTCTGCTTGTTGTTTGTGACTAATTATCATTAACATTTCCTTTTTCAAAAAATCTCCTTTCCACCAAAATAATCATATTCACTTTTAACCCTTTCAACTTTTTTGATCCACTTTTTTTAACAATCTTTATAAAATCTTCGAAACCACTTTGGAAATATTGACTGGATGTATGAAGTGTTCTATTAGTACTTTTAGAAAACAGGAAAAGTCGACATAGAAGTTAATAAGTCTGAAAGAAAGATGATTGAAATATATATTTTTTAATTTTGTTTGTTTGTAGTCAAGCACAAAGCTGCACAATGGGCTATCTGTGCTCTTCTCACCACGGGTATCGAAACTAGGCTTCTAGCGTTGTAAGTCCGCAGCCAAACCGCTGTGCCACTGGGGGTATTTTATAACTTAGATTTGACTGAAACAAATAATGCACAATATTCAAAACAAATTAGTCAGTAGTCACTTATAATTGAAAAAAAAAGGAACTTTTAACACGTACACTATTTCCTGGTCTAATTCTCACCAATAAATCGATACAAGAAAATTGGTTGATAATAGTTTTACACACAAAACTGTTAATTAATTTCGTGCATTTAGTTCCCAATTAACTTTCACTGTATTTCCCACATCATTAGAAATCACTTGTAGTATTTTGAAAATGCTTCAATACTGTAATTAATCCATCATGCTAGACAAGAGATCGTAAATAAATATCTACCATTCAGTTAAAGCATTTTATTGGCTATAAAAACATGACGAGGTAGTTCCGCTTTAACGGGTTTGGTACATCACAAAATATAAGGTGATGAAAAATTTGCTTGAAAGATAAGTTCTATGCATTTATGTACAATATACAGAGCGGCAAACAAAATAAGAGTGTAATTAAAACACTACATCTACTGGATGAAATAATTGTAAATATAAAATTATATCTATCCGGTTTTGTCGCATAATAACCACTTTCCTTAAACATAAATATCTAGATAAAAATTCAAACATTTCACTCTTGTTTCTTTCTTTCTGTACAAGTCAATCTATGAAATTTACATTTCTATATATCTGTTTAGGCTTAGTGATACAGCAAGATCACGCACATTTCCTTAATTGTGAGTTTTAATATTTTTATTTTGTTTTAAAGTTTTTAATGATCCTGTGAAATGGCGCATCTTTGTCATTATCTAAAGTTACACTGTCGGAGCTGTTTAATTAATGAGTTTCTTTGGTCAAAATGTGTTTTAAGGAAGGAATATGGAAAGCTTTTCGTATACATGGTTATAATGATGTTATCTTCTTCCATGATCATTAAATCTACAACAATGCTTGTTCCATAAGAAAGGTATTCATTCTTTAATTCGTTCATTAAGCGTATTAGATAGAATGTTTAATATGTGTACTTTTATTGTTCTATTTTTGTTATATTTTTTTACATTGTTAGTTTAGGATATGGAAGTAAGAGGTATTATTGGGCTTACAGCCAAAAACATTGTTTTCAGTGAGGACATACCAACTGGCGAAATAATACATTCCAATTTTTATTAGTCAAAACGTAAGGAAATTATATATAATTAGGTATATTCATTACCGGGTTTTGATCTTATTAGACAGCTTGCTCTGATCAGGATCTAATTTAATATACGAATATCATTTTCCATTAGCTATATTCACATTCAAGTGTAGTGTGGTCAAATCGTAGCTATGCCAAATGAGACTAAAGATAATAAAAATACACAGGTATCAAATAAGCTCTCACTTTCGAAAGCGAGTTTTCACCTGGTCACGTGACGGGGTGGTCCGTATAAAACGAGAACAGACAACTGTGAAGTAAGTAGAGGAACAAGTTTTGAGTCAGAACGAGGAGGAATAAAGGAACAGGTGGGAGTCGGGCCTATTGAGCTGTGCACTTATTGCTGTGTATAGTGAAGTAAAACGTTTCCACACATCTTGTGCAGTGTGCCGTGTCACAATTATTTCCTTAGGTTTCAACAGAGAGCTTCTTCAACATTTCTTGTTCGCTAAGCTTACGGAATTATCGCAGTACTGAGGTAAGATGAAAAATTTATATAATAAATTATCTTAACTACACGTTTTATGAACGTGTCTTACAACAGTGTCTGACGTCACAGTTAAACTGTGCCTTTCTTTTAAATTAAATCGCAGCTTAACATGTTTCAAACATGTTTCATTCGCGTTCCGTTTATAGTTAAGCACAAAGTTTCACAATGAGCTATCTGTGCTGGGCCAACCACGGGTATCGAAACCATATTTCTAGCGTTATAAGTCCGCAGACATACCGCTGGGGGCACCATTCAATAACTTAACATGTATTTTATTTAACCCCTGTCATATTTCTGTGTATATTTATAATAAACTAGTGTTTATAAAACTTTTTCTTCGACTCAACGAACAGAAACAAACGTTTCGAGATAACAATCGAAAGGCTGAACTGAACAAAGCAAACAATATAACGGACATGGACAAATTTCAAACGGAAATACTGCTTTTGAATCGTGCTACAGGAAAATTTTGCGTGACGTTACATTTCCGAAGTTTATAGAAAACAGTATTTTAAAGATTCGTCAGTTAACCGCACTAATCTTTCGTTTATTTGATTCTTCAGTTTAACTTGGTTTTTTGCAATACTAAAATCAGTTAACCATAAGTGTGTGAAAGTTCAATTTTTGTGAAACAATTTCACACGTTTAACTCACACCACTCTTATGAATAACGTATAACATAAAAACTATATCGCGATGATGATGTAACTATTGAAGTAGCTACGTTTTATTACATCTTGTATAGTCCCCTCTCCCCAGTGGCATAGCGGTAATTCTGAAGGCTTATAACGTTAAAAAACGGATTTCGATACCCGTGGTGGGCACAGCACAGATAGCCCACTGTTTAGCTTTGTATTTAACTACAAACAAACAGCTCGTATATGAAATGGAAATACTGATTTCTAAACTTTCTTGTAACGTTTACTCACCTTTGAGGATTTTTCTTTGGATAACCTGGTTACATAGTTTGCTTTCCTTCTACGTCACCCTTCACTTCAGAAATTATGTGAGCAGAATTAAATACAAGAATATATTTTTTATCAAATGGAAACTAATATTGCTTAACATTCTTTTAGATGTATTTTCTTCCAACTATGTGTATGAGTGCTACACAGATTAGATGTTATGTAAAAGAGCCGTTAACTAGAAGTCACTCGGAATTTAAATTTTCCACATTAAACCAGACGCTAGGACTATACATTTGGAGTATTTGAATAAATACTTTACCCACACGTTTTATGCTCTAATATTAACTTTCAACTTTATGACACCTTGTGCAAGTTTATGTTTTAGTGTAAGTTAAGTAGAAATGTATTGAAATATATAAATTTCAGCACTCTAGGTGACAAAATTTCGGGTCTAAAAATTTTATATAATGCATTGTATTTGATTAGAGAGAAAATATTAATGTTTAAAAAAAATTCCCTTTATTGCTTATTTAAAAACAGTATAAACCATTTAGGTGGTCTAAAATACGGAAAGTGGGGTATTCTTTATTGAAATTATTGCGAATTTTAACTCTATTTCGATAATACTATGTGGTCTAGAATGTCGCAATGGTCTGCGTGTAATAAATATTTATTTATTACTACTGTTGTTTACCTTCCTAGGCTAATATCAAATTCCTGATATTTTGATATTTTCCCACTGGTGAAAATATATTAACCTTATATGTCTCTGTGCTGATTATATATTGAGTTAAGAAGTTCTGTAGTTATTTAATTGTCCAAGTGTTTGTAGAATGTTTAGTTTGCGATTATCTAATATTACAGTAAGAGAGACGAATGAATGACTAATGTTGGGAACATAAATTAAATAACTTCTACTTAAAAGTTTACTTTGTAATTTAGTTTATTGTTTAACCCAAAGATCTACGTTATGACCCATATAAATCTGAACTTGGAAGTTTTGAGTTCCTAGATATATCACAGTGACTCGGCCGAGTACAGGTGTAAATTAGAATAGTTAAGCCTACATATCTACGTTCTTAATCTAATCTACATTTTTTATTCTTCTTCACAGAAAGCATGGAAGCCTACTGGATACCGTTGTATGTTTGCTTGGTAAGTTTCAGTTTTCTCCTCGGATTACGCGTTTCTTTTGTGTTGTTCGAATATGATTGATAAAATATGTCGTTTCGGTATGGATCTATTATTATTGCCAGATATCCAGTCTGCTGTATTACCCTATATAACGTAATTTATTTGGGTCAGTTTCTTTACTGGTATAGTTTCGTTCGGTTAGCAGGCCAAAGAATTTTACAATGGCGTTCACAAAGTGTTTTTCAGTGGCTCATAAGTTTTCTGGGTGAATTGAACAAATGTTTCAATGTAGTTTTGGTCTGTAATAGTCTGCATAAACAAACACATAAGTTAAACTAAAACCTCAAAGTTAATTATTTTTTCGGATCTGATTTCGAATCAGTGCTGACATCACCAAGACATCGATAAGAGACTGTGCAAGAGAGCGCGTGCATTATCTTGTCAGATACAATTCATAAACGTCATATCTTAAGCTTAATATCCCCAAAAATTGTTATAACAATGAATATTTAGAAGTTTCATCAAGATATTAACCGAACTGTTTTACAGATATATATATGTTTATAAAATACTTTTAACATCATTGACAAAACTTCGCTTTGCGTAAATTTAGTTTGGTGCTTATAAATCATCAGAAGTCATGCCAAACGTGTAACATGTCTTTATTATATATGCTTTCATTGGATGCGGGAACTTCCACATTTTCTTTATTTATGTTGATGTTAGGGTCGCCTAGTTTGGAGAGTATTTGGCCGCCAAGATGAGAGGTTCTGAAGTGATACATTCTAAACATACTATATTTTATGGTCAGAAACAGCGTAATTAGTTAAAGGGTTCGGATAATTTTTTGCCTCTTCTTGGAATTTATTTTAAATTCACCGTCCTTCTTTATTATATTGAACCGTAGCCTTTTTAATACCAAATAAAAAATCAGAACGGGCAAGATACAAGAAAATGAAATCTTAAATGTGTTATTTTATGTGGGTTGCTCTTCTACTAGTCTTTCAGATGGCTTAAGTTTCATAGATTTCTTGGACAGAGAACTTACACAGATTTACTTCTAAGATAGAGATCGTGCACTGATTGTTCTGAAAAGTAATCTTATACACATTTCTAGGACAATAATGATACCTTTTTGTTATATATTGGCTACTGGTACATATATCTTAGAGATCATAGGAAAAGTATTGACAAAGTTACGTTTAGAATTACAATACGAATAAGTGGATATATTCGTTACATTAAAAATTATATGAATGCCTCATGACATCGTCTGTTGTCTGTTCCTTTTCTTGTGCCGTCTCATGACATCGTCTATTGTCTGTTCCTTTTCCTGTGCCGGGCATGGCCAAGTGGTTAGCTTGATTGGACTGTGAATCCGAGGATTCATGGTACATGTCCCTTTGCCATAACAACAACGCCTTCCAAACTAAGGGGCTGTGGTTGCGCTACACGAGTGACGTTCAAGTCTCACTGTTCGGTCAGATAAGAGTGGCCGTTGATGATACTGCTGAGGAGCTGCCTTTCCTCGATACCCTTTTGTAACTTTCTTTGCACGAGAGTTCTGAAACAATTTAAAAACATCATTACTTCTTTGACTGAATATGCTACACATAGAAAAAAAAAGTTAGATTATTGAAACATCTGCGTAGATATACTCTAACTATCCTTTTGCTTTGATACTAGTGGCGTGCTTTTGGAAATCGGCAAAGCAACTAACTGATAGCAAGATTAGCTTAGCAGGTCAAAACTTCTTCATCCCCTATACCGATTTCGAGGACAAAGATACACGAGTGCCTGCAGACTCCAATACATTCACCAGTTCAGGTTTTGAGGACAAACAGGACACGTCAGAACTGTGTTTTATCTGATGAACTAAGACAGATTGTTACTTAAACTGTTCGAACTCAAGCCATTACGACTGATCTAGTATAGAGTAGCAACTTCAGGCTAACTATTTTCCCGCGAAAAAGGGTATCACAGTAATCAATATTATATCTTCGGTGTTTACGGTGGTTGATTTAAGAAATAGACAAAACTAACTAAACGTGAACAACATATTCAGGTTAAGTAGTAAAGGCAAAAATTAAGGTTGTCTACAGAAAAAGTGTAGATAGCCATGAGCACAAGTTATAACAGTACGATGTTTGGTTTAGCAATATGTAGATCTAAAACTTTTACATATTGAATAGCAGTGTCAAAAACTAAATAGAAACATCTAACCAAACAGTTTAGTTTAATTTTAATGCCTTTCATTCGTTATTCAGTATTATATTACACACCCAGTGGATGCCACACATGTTTTGAAACATGGTATACTATAATATATATTCCATTTATTTTATTCAGTTGTTAAAAGGTAAACATATCTGTTAGTTGAATGTACCGTATTTTTTTGGAATATAAGACGCACCCTTATTTTGAAGGCAAAGTTTTGGGGAAAAAAAGCTACAGTCGCATTTGAAAGATTTTTATTGAACAAAAGTTCAATTTGATACTTTAAAAATTAGTATATATTGTTCTAAACACAAAAGAGCTCAAAATAAGAAAATACCATAAATCAAAAAAAGGTTTACCGTTA